GCCCAGCTTCAGGTTGAGCTGTTGTTCAGCATCTTAGCTGTAGAGGGCAGTGTCACTGGCCCTCATATGTGGGATCCGAACCAGGGCCCTCTGGTATCCCAAGCCAGTTCTTAACCAACGTGCCGCTCGGCTGGCCCTGCTCATTTCTTACAAAGTTTATTTCTAAGGTATTTTTCCTCTTAATTGTTGATGCCAATGTTAAAGTTATCTTCTAAGGTTAGTTATTTTATTTATGCTTCTATTGCTTTTTAAAAAATGATTCTAAAATTGCAGAATAATGTATCCTTATTTCAGAAAATAAAGAAATATAAGTAGTACAGTAATTTCCCCATGGGGTCTACATTCTATTATGTGCCTTTTATTTATGTAATGATTCATATGTGGTGTTTTACAAATCAGAACATACGCATAACTTTTTTAAAGATTTTATTGGGGAGTTGGGGGAGGGAACAGTTGGGGAATCAGGGAAGGGAAACAGACAAGTTGCTGTCCTTTTGTTCTTCAGTCTAGCTGTGGAGGACACTGCTTCACTGGCCCATGTTGGTATCATGATCATTGCACTTTTCCCGGCTGAGGCAGTCGGTTGCCAGCCATTGGACGATCCCCCACTGCAGCAGGGGCTGCAGCCTTCACTGTCGCTGGCTACTCACGGCAGCCCAGCTCCAGGCCGAGCTGTTGTTCAGCATCTTAGCTGTAGAGGGCAGTGTCACTGGCTCTTATATGTGGGATCCGAACCGGGGTCCTCTGGCGTTCCAAGCCAGCTCTTAACCAATGTGCCACTCGGCCGGCCCCCAAGGCAACTCTTAACCAACGAGCCACTCAGCCGGCCCTGTGTCGCATCTTCTTTATTCATTCATCTATTGATGTACACTTAGATTGCTTGTTGGCTGTTGTAAATAATGCTGCAATGAACATAGGGTTGTATATATATATCTTTTTGAATTAGAGTTTTGGATTTCTTTGGATAGATACCCAGAAACAGAATTGCTGGGTGATATGGTAGTTCTATTTTTAATTTTTACAGGAACCTCTCTACTGTTTTTCATAGCAGCTGCACCAATTTACAATCCCATCAACAGTGCATGAGGGTTTCCTTTTCTCCACATCCTTGCCAATACTTGTTGTTTGTTGATATTTTTGATGATAGCTGTTTTGACAGGTGTAAGGTGCTATCTAATGGTAGTTTTAATTTACATTTCCCTGATAATCAGTAATATTGAGAATCTTTTCATATGCCTATTGGCCATCTGTGTGTCCTTTTTGGAGAAATGGCTATTTAGGTCCTCTGCCTATTTTTAAATTGGATTGTTTGTTTTGGGGTGAGTTAGTTGTATGAGTTCCTTATATATTTTGGATATTAACCCTTTATAAGACGTATCATTGGTGAATATCTTTTTCCATTCAGTAGGTTGTCTTTTTGTTTTTGTTTCCTTCACTGTGCAAAATATTTTTGTTTGATTTCCTATTTGTTTATTTTTCTTATGTTTCCCTTGCCTGAGGAGAGTCATATACAAAAAAATATTGCTAAAAGCAGTATCAAAGAGTTTACTGCCTATGTTTTCTACTAGGAGTTTTATGATTTCAGGTCGTATAGTTAATAAGTTTTTAATCCATTCTGAGTTTATTTTTGGATATGGTGTAAGAAGGTGGTCTTGATTTATTTTTTTGCATATATCAATCCAGTTTTCCCAACACGATTCATTAAAAGCCTCTCTTTACCCCATTGTATATTCTTGCCTTCTTTGTCATAGGTCAATTGATCATAAAGACATGTTATAGGTCAATAGATCTGGCTTCTATTCTGCTTCATTTGTCTATGTTTCTGTTTTTATGCTAATACTATGCTGTTTTGATTACTATCGCCTTGTAGTAAGTATAGTTTAATATCAGATACCGTGATGCCTCCAACTTTGTCCTCCGTTTCAATATTTCTTTGGCTAGTTGGGGTCTTTTGTGGTTCTGTAAATTTTAAGATTATTCTAGTTCTGTGAAAAATGCTATGGTATATTGATAGGGATTGCATTGAATCTATAGATTATTTGGGGTAGTATGGATATTTTAACAATGTTAATTTTTCCTGTCCATGAGCATGGTATATCCTTTATTTGTATCTTTTTTCATTTTCTTCTTCAATTTCTTATACTTTTCTGAGTATAGGTCTTTTACCTCCTTCTTTAAATTTATTCCTAGGTATTTTTTTTATGCAATTGTAAATGGGATTGTTTTCTTAATTTCTCTTTCTGATAATTCATTAGTGGTGTATAAAAATACAACTGAGTTTTGAATATTAATTTTGTATCCTACTTTACTGAACTCCTTTATAAGTTCTAATAGTTTTTTGGTGGAATCTTTAGGGTTCTCTCTATATAGTATCATGTCATCTGCAAATAATGACAGTTTTACTTTTTTCTTTACAATTTGGATACCTTTTATTTTTATTGTTTAGTCTGACTGCTGTGTCTAAAACTTCTAATACTATGTTGAATAAAAGTGGTGAAAGTGGAAATCCTTGTCTTGTTCCTGATCTTAAAGAAAAAACTTTCAGCTTTTCACTGTTGAGTATGACGTTAGCTGTGGGTTTATCATATATGATCTTTATGTTGAGGTATGTTTCCTCTATCCCCACTTTCCTGGGTTTTTATTCTATAATTTCTTCTTGACCTGAGATTTACCTTACTGATTTTCTTATATTTCTAATCATTCCTTCTGACGTTTCTGTATGACCTATTTTTAGCTCTGTTCTTACACACTTCAGAACTATGAGAGCTAGTGTTCTTGTGGGTTTTATTTGCTGTTAAGTTCACATTTTTCACTTTATGTGTGTACTTTCATAAATGTACCTTCTTATACATAATAGAAGAGACTTTATTTTTTTTCCAGGCTGGGAATCCATGTGTGAGAGTGAAGAATTAACCCCAAAGCAGGGCATTTATGAAGCACAATCAACTCAGAAGATAACAGAAAAACTTAAAAGCTGTGGCCTTGAGTCCTCTAGTTTGAGAGAAGAATGGAAATGTTTCAAGGAAGAGACAATCAATCATGAAGAAACCCTTGTTGATGAAAGGGGACAAGAATATAACAAGTCTTGGGGAAGTTTCCATTTGAAACTGCTTCACACACAACAGATAATTCCAAAAGAGGCAAAAGTACATAAACATGACACACATAAGAAAAGCTTTAAAAAATATTTATTGGCCATTAAGCCCAAGAGTACCTATACAGAGAAGAAACTTTTGAAATGCAATGACTGTGAAAAAGTTTTCAGCCAGAGCTCATCCCTTATTCTTCATCAAAGAATTCATACTGGAGAGAAACCCTATAAGTGTGTGGAATGTGGGAAAGCCTTCAGCCAGAGATCAAATCTTGTTCAACATCAGAGAATTCATACTGGGGAGAAACCCTATAAATGTAAGGAATGTAGGAAAGCATTTAGTCAGAATGCACACCTAGTTCAACATCTGAGAGTTCATACTGGAGAAAAACCTTATGAATGTAAGGTGTGTAAGAAAGCCTTTAGCCAGTTTGCCTACCTTGCTCAACATCAAAGAGTTCATACTGGAGAAAAGCCGTATGAATGTAGGGAATGCGGGAAGGCCTTTAGTCAGAGCACACACCTTGTTCAACATCAGAGAATTCATACTGGAGAGAGACCCTATGAATGTAAGGAATGTGGGAAGGCCTTCAGCCAGAATTCACACCTTGCTCAACATCAGAGAATTCATACTGGAGAAAAACCTTACAAGTGCTCAAATTGTGGCAAGAGTTTCGCTCGGTCTGGAAACCTGAAATTACATAAGCGAGTTCATACTGGAGAGAAACCTTACGAATGTAATGTTTGTGGAAAGGCTTTTAGTTACTGTGGATCCCTTGCCCAACATCAGAGAATTCATACCGGAGAGAGACCCTATGAATGTAAGGAATGCAAGAAAACCTTCAGGCAGCATGCACATCTTGCTCATCATCAGAGAATCCATCTTGGGGAGTTACTCTCACCACCTAATCCAGTCAATCACCAAGTTCTGTAGACGCTACCATAAATATTTCTGGAATTTATTCTCTTTTCTCCATCTTTAATATCACCCTAGTCTAAGATCCATCTCACCTGAATCACTATTATAGTTTTCTAACAGATCTTCCTCTATCAACTTTTGGTTTTCTTCAATTCACTTCCCACCATGCTCCCACACTGATCTTTGTGAAGTGTAAAAATACACACATCACTGCCTCCCGTTATAACTTTTTTGGCTTGCTATTCTTAAGCTAACATCTAGTCTTTAAAATTGTCTATGAGGTGCTTTATTATGTGGTTCTTATATACATGTTAGCCTTATTTTATTCCAGTCTCCCTCTGTGGACAGTAAGCACCTTAGATTCTAGAAAATCATAGCTCTACCCCTACTATGGGATTGTGTGACTGAGTAATTTGCTTGACTTATCTCAACCTCAGGGTTTTCTTTAATTCTTAAAATAGGGATAATAAAAGACAGTGTATTTTAGAAATGTATTAAAGGAAATAGTACCTGTTGTAGATTGGTGCATATTAAGTAAGAAACTTGCATGTAAACTTTATATAGTACATCAAATATAGCACATATTCCATAAATGATAGCTAACCTGTATTGAGTGCCTACTATGCACCAGGCATTGTTCTACATACTCAACATATATTAACTCACTCCTCACAGCTAAAACAAGATTCCTAAGTGGACAAAGTATAACATCCCTTAGAAGCAACAGGTCAGAATTGGGAAACCTAAAAATTTTAGAACATAAGTGGAGTCTTTGTACTCTAGATTAGTAATCAATATAGACACAAGTAGTAGAAATATAACACTTATAACCAGTTTTAGGAAGTTTCCAGAGAGAATGAATAGGATAAACCAATTAAAATGAGGATTCACTGAGAATACAGTTTACATTTAGATAAAAGAAAAGAGAGTATCACAATTAACTCCAAGAAAAAATCCCAAATAAAACCCCTAATAAACAGAAATTCAAACTGTCCCATAAAAAGGGACAAGGCCCAGGTAGTTTTATGGTGAATCTAGGCAATTTCAAAAGCATTTAAGTTGTTCCATGCTGTAGAAAAATTGTAATGTTTATCATTTTTTTAAGTCAGTGATTATGAAATTGAAATCAAAGGGGGACTTAGGGAAGAAAACTACAGATATATATGTGCTTTCATTGATTTGGTGAATATTGAGTAGCTACAATTTGCCAGACACTATCACTGTTGTAGGCATGAGGAGACAATGATCAATCCAAAGACTATGTACTTGTGGAGTTAAAATTCCAGATGCTGGGAGTGTTAATACTTAAATATAAACATAGATTTTTCAGACCCAGAAAACTTCTGAAGAGTAATGAAGTAAGTTGAGTATTATGTAGTCTAGACCGAAGAGACTTGAGATAAAGTTACCAGTTATTCCTAACTCACAAATTCACTGCAATGCTAACCAAAATTCCTGAATGGGCCTTTTTGCCCTTTATTTTCACTTTTTCTGAAATTGATCTATGAAGTGTAAATTTTTAAGAATGGCAAGAATATTCTTGAATCTGATCTATTTGTAGAAACTTTGCATATGATGAAGATGGTTCATACTAGTAAAGAAAGGATGGATTCAGGGATATTAGAATAATTGACTATATACATCACTAGTAGTAAAGGAAATGCAAATAAAACTATGATGAACTATTCCATGATCATCACATTGACAAAAAGTATTATATTGCCAATGATTGCATAGATGTACAGTAATAGAGATGTTCAAACAATGTTATTTGGAAGTAGTTGTGTTTAGGATAATTAGGCAATAGCTAGGAAAGATGAATATGTGGATACTCTTTGACCCAGCAAATCCACACTTAAACCTCTACAGAGTCTCCTCATGTGTTCAGGTAGATGAAAGTCCACTTCAGTAGTGAGAATGAAAATTGAAAGCAATCAAAGTAACCATTAGGGTGAATATAAGTTAGAACCCAAGTTAAAATGAATGAACTAAAGATACTTCTATCAACAAGGACAAATCTCAATAACAATGAAATTGAACTAGAGTATTTTGTATATGGTACCACTTATTTATAACATTTGAGAACATGCAGATCAACATTTATATTTTTCATTGCTAAATACTAAAGAAATAGTGTAATAACACTCAGAAATTAATCAAATTCAGAACAGTGGTGACCTCTGGGGAGGGAGAATAATGAGATTGAGGAAATGATGCAAATAATTTATTTCTTTAAAATATAAGCAAATATGGCCAATTCTTATAATTCAATAGAGCTGGTCATGGGTTTATAGGTAAGTTTTTATTCTCTTATCTTTCTGTATATTTAAACTATTTCATAATAAAACATTTAAATGATGTTTGCTTTTGTCAGTTATTTACTTACTATACCTCAAGAGTGCAATTGGTGTTCCCATCCAAATCACCATTTTCTTCAGAAAGAAGCTCACATATAATTGACTTCCAGATGCAATCACTGAATTTGATGACTATTTTTCCATGTGACAGAATTTTGACAGTTACTATTTTTTTACACTGAGCATTTTATAGCCTACTTATTACATGTTTCCCCCATCACTCTTCCCCCCCCATCTTCACTGAGGTGTGATTAACAAATTAAAATTGGATATGATTAACATTAAAATTTAAGGTTTACAACATGATTTATTTATACATTGTGAAATGATTACCACAATTAAGCTAATTAACATGTTTATCACTTTACATAGTCACCATTTTGTGTGTGTGTGTGTGTATGTTGAGAACACTTGAGATCTACTCTTAGCAAATTTCAAGTATATAATACATTATTATTAACTGTCTGGCTTATTTCACTTAGCATAATTTTCTCCAGACTCTTCCATGTTGTTGCAATGGCAGGATTGCTCCTTTTAAAGCTGAATAATATTCACATATAAAGACACACACACCACATTTTCTTAATCCACCTGTCTATAGACACTAAGTTTGTTTCATTTCCTTTGAATTTGTACCTAGAAGTGGGATTGCTGGATCGTATGGCAGTTCTATTTTTAATTTTTTGAGGAACCTCCATAATTTCCATAATGGATGTACCAATTTATGTTCCTGCCAACAATCAACAGAGAGGTTTCTTTTTCTTCACATCCTTGCCAATGCTTATCTTTTGACTTTTTAAAAATAGCGTATTTTCCCATGTATAAGACGCACCCTTTCTCAAAAAATTTGGGGCCTAAAAACTGGGTGCGTTTTATACAGTGGTTGTAGATTTTTTAAATTGGCATTTTCCGCTTTTATGTGCTGCTTGTCTTTGCGTTCACTGTTTCGCACTTGTTACCGGTGTATTAGGTTACATTTTGCCACATTCTGCCCAGAAATGTCTCAGAAAAGATTTTCGTACAGTGCTGAATGTCGCCAACCGAGCACTCTTGGCTCATCAGCCGGGAGCACACCGACCAGGTTCCTGAGAGGATTGGGTGGGAGACAAGAAAGAAAGAGACAAAAGTGCTGGGAACAGGAGGGTCTCAGACCTCGTTTATTGAATATACTCAGGTTATGTAGGAAGCAATTTCCTCTTATCAGGGAGCAATTCCCTTCTTATCAGGGGGTTTTGGGGATAGGCATACAGAAACTGGGAGATTTTGGGGGCAGGGGATTTTGGAGAGCTAAAATCCCCTAAGCAATGAGTCCACAATGGACTTCTGCAGTGGGTTCTGCAGTGGGCTTGCTGTCATCAGAAGCCGCACGGGTCAGGGTGGTGAAAGTCTTGTCATCTGTTGTCAAGGAGCGGTCTCCTCCGGCAGGCCTCCCTCACTGCTTATCCCAACATGGAGTCCTGCTGCCAGTCACTTTATGGCCTGGCTACTGCTTAAGGGCCACCTAAGGGCTTGCCTGCTTAGCAGACTGCTCCCAACAGCTGAATTCAAGTTAAAAGTGATCCGCTTTGCAAAAGTGAATGGAAATCGTGCTGCTGAACGTAAGTTTGGTCCTCCTCCAGCTGAGAAAACAATCCAAGACTGGCTATGTTTGGGAGTTTTGACAGTGATGAGTTGTATGAATTTTATGATGAATAAAACTTGAGTTTAATAACTTTATGTAATACATTTTTTTTTCAAATTTCGGGCCCCAAAATTAAGGTGCGTCTTATACATGGGAGCATCTTATACATGGGGAAATACAGTAATCATTCTAATAAGTGCGAGGTGATACCTCTTTGGTCTCTGTAGATTTGACTTGCATTTTCCTAATAATGACACTAAACACATTTTCACATACCTGTTGGCTATTTGTATGTTTTCTTTTGAAAAATGTCTATTCAGATCTTTTGCTCATTTTTAATTAGTTTTTCTTTTTTATATTGAGTAGTATTAGTTTCTTACATATTTTTATATTAACCCCTTGTCAGACATGATTTGCAAATATTTTCTCCCATTTTTGTAAGTTTCCTTTTCATTTTGTTGAAGCTTTTTTAGTTTGATATAATTCCACTTGTTTATTTTTGCTTTTGTTGCCTGTGTTTTTGGTGTAAAATCCAAAAAGAAGCCATTGCCAACACCAATCTCAGGGAACATGTTTCCCATGTTTTCTAATAGGAGTTTTATGGTTTCAGGTCTTATATTTAAGTCTTTAATACATTTTGCATTAATTTCTGAGTATGGTGTAAGATAAGGGTCTAACTTAATTCTCTTGCATGTGGCTATCCAGTTTTCTCAACATCATTTATTGAAGAGACTATCTTTGCACCATTGTGTGTTCTTGGTGCTTTTGTCAAAAATTAATTGACTATATGTGTGGAAATTATCATTCTTAATGTTTACAGGGCACTGCACTGTATACACCATGATTTATTAATTTCCTGTTGTTTTTAACCTAAATGTCTAGAATTTTCATGGACCAATAACTATCCTTTCAGAATTCAGTTTTTTCAGATGTTAAAGGGAGATAATTCTGCCTTTGTCATAAAACTGTTACATAAATTTATAACACAATGCCTCGCAAAATTTAATGGTAGCTATTATTATTTTATAAAAATATATGGGTGAGGGAAACTGGAGAAGGCAAATGATGTGAGGCCATTACAGTATAAATAGGGTGGAGACTGAAATTAAGATAGATATATAGCATACAGGAGCAAAGATATACAGTAACTTGATTTTTTAAAATGTATGCCTAAATTAACTTAGTCACTGTGGTTATAATCAACATCCAGCAGAATTTTTATTTTTGAGTGCTGTTAGTAGTAGTTTGAGTGCCATATTAAGGAAATAAAATGCTGAATTTAAATACTTTTGTCATAGGTCCCTAAGATCTGGAATATCATTGTACTGTGTAAATCCTATGCTCATAAGTAGCTCTAAAGTAGGTTATATTCACCAGACATCCAGGTGTAGTCCAGGAATATACACCATAGATTTTAGACTGACAAGTGGATAAAAAGGAATGACTTTCCCAGTTTCAACTTCCCAATACCTAAGGCAATTCTCTTCAACTACCTCTGTCCATACTGAATAAACAAATATATTGGATCACAAATTGTCAGAGAACAGTTAAAATAACTCTAAGCTCGACCTTTTTGTCTTGAGACTTTCCAATCTCTAGTGGGTTCCTTCT